CTTTCTAACCTTGTTAAGACGTTCATCTGGGAGATAGAACACTGCATTTCAGTATCTGCTCCAGTGAGTGACTATTTAGGAAAGTTATTTTCAACCTTTTTCCATTTTGGACCCCTAAAAAATTTCAAATGAAGGTGCGGACCCCTTTGAATTGTAAGTGTGGGTATTCACATAGTTTTGATTGATTGTAGTAATCTTTTGCGGACCCCTTAGACATAGTGTATGAACCCCCAGGAGTCGTTGGACCACAGATTGAGAAGCACTGATTCAGGAGATCCTGAGAGCAATTTCACTGAAGAACACCCTATAGTATGGTGACTTAGGACCTTGTCACATAGCACACTTAGGGTATATTTTACTGAGATCGCAGTAAGCATTACTGTGCTGTATTAAGTTAATGTGTTCTGAGCAGCCACATAGTAATGGTTATTATAACCTCTAACATGATCTCATGCATAGCTCCCTGATTGTTAGTCCTAGCCTCAGCACTGCCCCAAAAATCTTGAACCAGACCTGGTGATCATTTGTCCCAGCTTCAAGACTTCACCACAGCCAGTTTAAGACCCTGGACCCTCATGTTTACAGCTCCTAAAAATCATGTTTGCACTATACCAGAGCCAGTTCAAGACTTTAATGTGGTGCCAGGGCTGGGACTGAATCAGCCGATTGTCATTCCCAGCCCCAGTATCACCTTGGAGCCAATTCCAGATTCCAGTGATGTCCAAGGGCTAGAATCAACAATCAGCTTGTTGGTCTCAGTCGCTGGACTGAGTGGGGAGCCAATTGGAGACTCCCATGCTGAGACCAACATTCAAGGGATTGTGGGTCTCAGCCCCAGGGCCACAAATTGCTCACATTATCTCTGCGGAGTGATGTGATGATAGTTATTTAATGCAATCTAGAGAGACTTCTCCAGTGAAAAGTCCTAACTAGTATGATATGATTGTATTTAGCATGTGTTTTACTGCCAGAATGCAGAGATACTCACATTTTAAATGCAGTTAACTCATCCTAAGTTAGGGATGAGTTAACTGCACAACCATTAATGGCCCTAACAGTCTCTTGGGAAGTGGGTTATAACTCCCTTTAGAGGAGGAAACTGAATCCATCTCTCTTGAATTCTGGGTCACTTTCATCTAACTGCTGAGCGATTGATGACAGGGGGCTATTTTCACCTCCTCCCCCACTGTTGTGAATCTAACACTTCATTTGCTTTGGCTTTTTTTCCTTTTAATCTAAAATAAAACATTGTGTGTTAAATTAATATTTTTCAGTTTTTCATTTCCATACCAAAAGTTACAAGGAACCCCCCTAAAAACTTTTACGTGGTGGTTTTTTTTTTTTTTTGTCTAAACTGATTTTTTTCCAATTTTGGTTTGGGTGCTGAAATGCAAAAGTCAATTATTTGGACATCCCTGTTTAAAAGGTATCTGAAAATATGAATACATCTGTATTTTATTATTTTATTTTCCTATTTGTTAAGCACAGCTTCATTGACTGAAGCCACATACGATTTACAGTACTCTAAATACTAACCAATTAATTGGCAGATCACTATAGCATTGAATTCATGGGGCTTTTCAACATTTAACGCCATTTTAACTGTATAGTGCTTAGATTATCCCTTCTTAAATTAATCACATTAATTTTATTTCAACCAAAATCCTGCTGAATGAGCTAGACTGAGATCTTTTGAAGTCTAGCACTGCTTGAGAGTTTTTGCATCTCAAGGGTTTATTCTTGTCCAAATAATTTAAATACTGAAACATAGTAATAGCTGTTTAAATCTAATCTGCCTGTAATTATCCTCATCTATCTTTGGATATAAAAATGCTTAATACACATCACATGTACAACTCTGATAAATCACTCTTTCAGGAAATAAATTAAAAATAGTGTGCCAAACTGTTACCTTGATGCTTTACACTTTTATTTATGTTATTACTGATCACCTGTAGACCATTCAACTAGTGCCATTACGTTTGATCAGTTCCACCAAGGAATGGATTGTAATAATAGTTTAATATCATTGATCACATTCAGAAAACTATCAGAGCCATAATTGATCCTAGTGCCATTGAGGTCAATGATTTCATTAATAAATTTCTGTCCTGAAAGGATTCAGCATCCTAAATCAAATGCCCTGCAATACCTGCAGAAGCTAGTATTAACAAACATGAAATACCGTTCTTATGAACTAGGCTACCAGTTACATATTAATCCTTCAAAATATTTCCCCCCTAAAGGTACATTATTCATTTAAAGCAAATGCTACAGTTTGTTGCAAAATGGTTGTTAAAAATGGCTTATGTTAATATATGATGCATTAGTATGGACCACTGTCATGTTATTTTGTCATTAACAAACACAGTACCATAGACTAGCATTTCAGGATCAAATAAGTTATGCAATCATATTTACAACTCTAAAAACAGACAGGATTATGTCTTGGAGATTACAAATCTTACTATACTAGATTGACACCAATTGGTTTTTAAAATTTGAATATAAAATGAGGCTAAGTACAGCCATTCAAAAAGTTCAAGGTGGAAGGGCTCTAAATATCATGTTTTACTTAAAGTGTTTTAGGTTAGATCAGAAGCAAACTGAACAGATATATTTTTGCTGTTTGGTGGGAGGGGCTTGGAGCCTGCGCATACTGGCTGAGGCTAGCAGGTAGGGGGCACTGTCACATGCCTCTCAGCATGTCCTGCGGGCCCCCTGGGCTGCCAAAGACTCCTGAGCAAAGCAGAACGGGAGAGCCACCCTTGGTGGGCTGCTGGGCATGGGCCATCACATGCCCAGCCCCCCACCGCATCGCCATGGACCTTCCTCTGTGCCCAGCCCTAAGTTTCAAGAAGAGGCCCAGGGCAAACACAAGTGCACGCCATCATGACTTGCATGTGCGTCTGTGTCCTAGCCTGCCCGCACCCCTTCATGGCATCCTGCCACCCACACTCAAGCAGGCAGACCCAGCCGCTGTGGCAGGTCCTGCTTCTTGCCTTGTGTGACTCTCACCAGAAGCTGAGGGACATCACACATGCCCATCTGGATCTGATATGGCGGTGGCTTTCCATGGCATGCACCCTCCTGCCCACAAGCCATCAGTCCAACATTGCGACCAGACCCTGGCTGGACTCCCATGGGGCTGTGCCCATGTGTGGAAGCCTGGAGCTCCCTGGGAGAGCATGCAGGTGCCAGGGCCAGACTTCTGCATGGCTCTGCCCGTGCACTTGGGTTTCTCCTGGACCATGCGTCAGGTCTGTGGGATGCTTTGCGGGGAGGCGAGGGGGGCATGACCCAGGGATGCAGGTGCCATGGTGTCAGGGCTGATGCAGGGAAACAGACCCCTCACAGTGGTGAGCCATGGCCTACTTCAAGCCTGGCTACA